TCGAAAATTTTAACTGTCAAAATTAGATTTTCAAAATTCGCACTTTATTTAAATCGAAATCCTTCATCTAATTGCAGATTGTCAGCTTTTTAATACTTGAACATGTATGTTCTTGAAATCTTAACCAGCGATCACCAAACCAAAACCTAAACATTAATCAAATCTAATATTTTCGATTTAAATAATATAAATCCATCTTATTGTAAAAAAGTACTGTTTTTTTATTCTTTGGAACACGTTTTTCTGAAATTTAGATACGATTTTGATAGTTTTCTATGAATTAACGATTTCCAGACAGAGTTATGTTTTTGAGTGAAAAGTAGTGAAAACTGTGGTGATTGCTTAAGTTGTTCTTACCACTTACGTTTCTAAGTATTATTCCGACTTGCTAATGCAAAAGCGGCGGTTTTAATTAAACTTAAATTTCTAATTAATAATTTAGTAGGAAATTCTTTTCTGCATTGCATTTATTATTTCTACAAATTCAATAAAATATCAAGAACATGAATTCATCAAGAAACGCTTCTGTTTCAACAATATGTTTCGCAAAGCATACGACTTATGAATACATAGGACACTCATACACTTTCATGCATCGCATAACCACATGCAGCACTCTTAACACATTTTCATAAGGACGAACACAGTCAGCCGCTCAAGAAAATGTTTATTGTCATTTTTATACATATAGATTGAAAAATCCAGATACACATCCTATGTGCAATAGTTCCACTTACACGCTTACATGAAAAATCAATTCAGAATACGAAAGAATATCAAGTCCTTAAACAAATGCACACAAAAAGCAATTTCCTTAAATCTAACGGAAGCTTTTCATATTACCACAACATTCTGAAGAAACTGACAAAGTCGATGGAGTAGTAATTTTACAGAAGAACAGCAGGAGCTGGTCTGAGCGCAGTACGAAATAAAAAGCAAATCGTCAAAACACAAAACTGTAATGCAGACGGACTTGCCTCTGGTGTAGGACTTATGTATGACGGAACTAGCTAATCTTGAAGCTGTAAACGTTATTTTTTTTACTTTATTTGTTCCTTCCATTTGCCTTAAATGAACCATAAAATTATGTGGCAATAGTGTACTAACAGTAGGATACAAAGATTCTTACAAGAAATTAATACGGAAAAGAATTTGAAATTAAAAGCATAAAATAAGCTTTGCCTTGGTATACGAGCCAGTATACGAACAAGTCTTCTGGTAGGCGTTTTCTCGTATTATTTCAAAAACAGCAACCACGTAGTTTTTTATTATTTAATGGTATATGATTAATAAAACACCAAGAGTACTTTTTTGGCGCAAAAAACTCTCTTGTCAAGTTCTGTTAAGCCTTAATGAGGAAAACTGTTCTCCCACTTGTGTTTGGTCCACAACTAACCAAACACAATTTCATAACATTTACATTTCATAATTTTGTAAAAATTATAAAAAATTTCAATATAAATGTGTAAGTAAATAATCTAAATTTAGAAACATAAATATCGTAAAAGTTATTATTATATTGATTTTAAACGTCCGTTTTGATGAAGAAAAAACGAGATTCTTAATATAAACTATTGTTTTCAATAGAGAGATATTTCGAACAGTTTTAAATTACAACAACAGTAATTATATTGAACTGAAGATTCAATTACAAAATCAAATTAAACCAGGGTTTGAATTACTGTGACTATTTTCAATTGCTTATTTTTGACTATGAAAATAAAATAAGCAAAATGCAGATGCAACAAGATATTAATAATGAACAATATAAATTATGCCAAAAATGGTTTATCTTAAAGAATCACTGGAAACAAAATAGAACAATGTACATGAACTCTGTTCACAATGCCCTTCTGACACTTCAGCAAGCATCGTTATTAAGTTAATATGAACGACTTTTCCCTAATTTGAAAATTCGGTATATAAATACAGACATGTCCTTTGCTGTGCATGGAACTAGTAACTGCAACTACCAACAGATGATGAGCGAGCGACAGAAAATTAATATCTAAAAAAACACCAGAAAATTAATATCTAAAATATCGCTAAGTTGCGCTTTTACAAAGATAATAAATATGTTATTACAATGAAACATATACCAAAGATAATACAGCAAAAAAATGGCAATGAAATTGTTATGGTATTAGCAACTAAAATCGTCAGGCATAATGGCCGTGGGAGATGTAAATGCCTATATGACCACTAATCAAGTGATACACAAAAACAAATGTTCTGTTTTGGTGTATGCAAATATCTTCGTTGTACAAATCGTTAAACCTAACGGTATAAAATGGTGTAACACGGAGCGACTGCAAAGGAAATTTCATTTATCTCAAAGCAAAGTCTGTGTCGACTACCGATTACTGTCTGATTACTGGCTAATGGCACGACTATACATTTGATTTTCAAATGCTGTACGGAAACTTTTTCTACCACATACCCAAGGTAAGACCGAGAGACCAACATGCATCAAAATACAGGGATCAGCTTGATAAGAACATTAATCAACTCGAATTAGGTGTTATTCAAATTGAATTGAAAATGTTATTAATCTTGATAATGAAGGAGCTGATATTGCACGAAACTAATTAAATTAACAGGTGGTAAACGCTGTTTTGATCGAGAAATATGACAGTGCCTGCGAAAAGTATGTGAAACTCCTAAGTCAAGTGAGACAAACTTCAGTGGATGATTTCAAATAAACTACCAATCTGCAAATAAAGTACTTAGAACCAATTGTTAATAAAGGGGCAAACAGCAAAGCGTTGTGAGGTCTGATTCATTTTTTATAAATTTTATTTGTTCGGTTAACGATGCAGCTATGAGATCTAAATAGAGATGAAGAGAAGCTTAAGAGAAGCAGTCTCAAAATTGTTTCAAGAACTATTTGTCTCACTGATACTGTGAGACAAACGTCACAAGAAATATATTACACTCAACGGAAATGTAAACAGTCGTTCATTAATGTTGACTATAGATATTGGTGCGTCAGATTCAATTATTTGTCCAGACGTAATAAAGGGACCGATTGAACCTTTGTCT